AGAAAAAAAAGTTAAAACTCATTTATATATTACAAAGTGGAGTTTTTACACTGAAAACAAACATTGAAGAGGATCAGAAATAGAGTGACAGATGGCTGAAATTGCTAACCCACAATTGCTTCACCGAGTGTCTTGGTGGTCAGTGTGTCTGTCTCTTTTAGAGCCCCCCTTAAACCTCCTTTCTTTCATTCTTCACAGCCAAATCTGTCCCAGTGTGACTGTCAGCAAGTGACTAAGCATGATTTGCCTAGGGGGAAGGGATGAAAAGGAGATAATGAATGAGTAAAAGTTTATATTTAGTTTAAAATATATAAATCTCTGGCATGACGCAATTATGGTGTTGTATCTTTAACACGAAAGATGAACGTTTGAAAAACAAAACGTGTGAAATGGCTGAAACTTTTCTGTGGGGAAAAACTCAAACAGGACAATAACGCCCCCTACTGACTGAAAAAGCAGTGAGGGGCAAAACAAACAAAACAAGTATTCAAAACTAATTTAATTTTCCCTAAAACTGTACAAATTAGAGCCACATGATCATTCCAGACATCATATGACTTTATAACAATCACATGTGCATTCAAAGCAAGAAAGGGTGCAAAACAGTGTAATATGTGTTGCCTACTAAAGCTGCACTTCGTTTTTACTTTTGACATTCTCAAGGGCACATTCAGTAGATAAAATGGATGTCCTCATACAAATGGAATGTCCAAGGGCGCTAAACAGTGCTTCTGTTTATCCACTCTATGCTCACACAGAGTTAACGTGTAATATTATTAGTTCTGTCTGTCCTCGACTTTCTCTTCCTTCTGAATCTTTTCTTTCCTTAAAAGGTCTTGCGAATGGACTCACTCTGAATGCCAACAGTGAGGGGGGTGGGACTGACCTAGAATTTCAACATAATGTGAAGAAAACACGGTCCATCTTGTATTACCTCCACACTAACTTTGTTTAAAAAAGTCTATAAGTCTTATAGTACATAGTATAAAACAGTTAGTTTTATATATGTTTGTCATTTTATTCTCTCGTGTGAACTTCTGTTTATGTGAACCCTATTTTCCCTGAGTCATAGTTGCCCATTTAATCTTTAAAACCCAAACAATACATTTTTGCGCGCGGGATACTTGGCGCGAAAACAGCACGCGTGTTTATGCGGCATTGTCTTTTGCCTCTAACTTGCATGTTTTCCGGGAGATGAAATAAAGAAAGGGGGGAAAGAGGGGGCGAAGGATGAATGGGATCCTTTCATCCTGTTAGCTGCAGAAAGCCAGGAAGAGAATAAACTCGGGGCTGGCAGCTGGAGTGCAGGAAATGTCGGGCCTGTGGCAGATGGTCGGGTGGGGCCTGCAGAAGGGGGAGAGAAGGGGAGGAAATCTGAGAGGATGTGGGAGGGATGAACCGCAGAGATACGCCCAGGAGGAGGGGTTTCAGAGCGGCTCACTTGCGCTCATCTGCTGTTTGAATTGTGTAACTACAAGTATATATTTGATTTGAAATAAAAAATAAGTTTGTTTGTGTTAAAAACAGTGCTAAATATAGATTAAAATAATTAATTATTTGCCAAAAATGCAGTCCATGCTAATGCATGTTTTTATGTAGCTATTTATATTTTCAATATATTCTGCTTTTTAAAAATAAAGTCTTTACTACTTGGATTTTTTTATTGCTTTACCCAAATAATGTTAATGCAATGTAATTTAATAACTTTGACCCATATGATATTAAAATTATTATTCTAATATTACGACTGTATTTGAAAAACAAGAGTTGCTACAACAGAGTCCCCTGCTAAAAGGTTAAATTGTTTATTATTTATTATTTTTATTATTATTATTATTTTTATTATTATTATAAATTGTATTTTTCGTTCAGCTGAAGTACTACAGTCACCGGATACAAAAAGCCATTTCTTTAATAATAATAATAATAATAATAACAATAATAATAATATAAATTATTATAATTATATAATTCTTCCCCACGATATTCCAGCTATATTAATATTTTAATGACAATATATAAATATAAATAATAAAAGTTTAAAAATGTATGTATGGATCCTAATACGATCATAATTATTAATGTATGCATGAAATTCTGTACAATTATTAGAACTACAAATTGTTCTTGTAATCATTTTGTGTGTGTTTGCTTTCTTTGTTTTAGTTTGTATATTAGAAAACAACTAGAAAGCAAATAGTAATTATTTAGTTTACTTTAGAAGAAAAACAAAAAATGTCATATAAAACCAGGCAAGACTTTATTTGACTTAAAAGTGTGTTGTGGATTTATTATATCTCTAAAACTTGGCTTTGATTAGGTTAGGGGAAAACCTCCAAACATCTTTATTTGTGAATAATCAGAGGCTTATTTCAAAAGCGCAATTGTTTTTTTATTCTTTCCCTCAAAGGCCTGTTTGGGCTGGTAATAACCTCTTTCCCCTTGCTCCACAGTTTGTCTGGATGATGCAAGTAATTTTTATTTAGGGTTTAAGCAGAAATAATCTGCAGAAAGTATTTAATTTAAAAAGTAAACAAACACCAAAGCAGTCTTTTCAGTTACACTACAACAACAAAAAATGAGCTCTTGGGCCCATAAGAGCAGACTTCTGCACATTAATGTGTAATTGGCTGATAAAAGGGGCACATAATGAAGACGCATGAAGAGTTTTAGAGTATTTTGCTGCAGCCCAGTCCTGGCAACCCTTGCTGCATTTTAAAGAGCTGTGCTGGAGTCTCAAGGGCATCAGGCAGAGAAGTGCACTTGACTGCAGCATTAAGATGACACTGACACAGCATTAGGCCACTTCCACCAACAATAGACAAACAACTATTGACCTAACTAAATGACCTGGAGTCACAAGTTTGCTACATAATTATGTGACCTTCATTTGTCCATCTATCTATCTATCTATCTATCTATCTATCTATCTATCTATCTATCTATCTATCTATCTATCTATCTATCTATCTATCTATCTATCTATCTATCTATCTATCTATCTATCTATCTATCTATCTATCTATCTATCTATCTATCTATCTATCTATCCATCCATCCATCCATCCATCCATCCATCCCCATACACTTTTTTTAAATTACTTTGCCTTAATTGTCACATCATTTTTTTTAGAAACAATAAGTTCAGATCTCAGAACAATGAACTTGTTCACAACATATTGCAATTTTTACACATGTGCAAAAAGTACAATTATATGCAGTGTGCACAACAGTTAATTGTATATGGCTCGTTGAAAAAAGCAGTAGGCCCAACACATTTCCTCCATGCTTCTAAATCTAGTTAATGTGTCAGTAATTTGGCCAAAATCAAATATAAAGTATTTTGTTAGCCACACATTAGTCAGCCTCACAAATTAAGATTTTATAAGACAAAAACTGATCTTTACTGAGAAGAGTCAATATAAAAAGCAGATAAACATTTGCATTTATGCAGTACATTTATTTTTGTATGAATGTGTTAAATGAAAAGTTTTTTACTCTTTCATGAGTCACGCAATCTACATATACACTGTAAAATGTATATTTAATTCAAATATTCTGTAAATTGAATTTACGTAAATAAAATGTAAAAAAAAAAACAGTAGATTGCTAAAAACCACAGCTGAATTTTTTTGTAAAATCAAGAAGAAAACAGCTAAATATTGTAAAAGCTTTGTGTCATCATTGTGCAGGATAGTAACATCTGTGTCCTGAGAGTATCAGATGTTATCTGTATCTTCTTTTATTTAAAGGTAACTGTGTGCTAATGCAGTGAAAAGCTGCTTGATAATTACAATCACAAATGAACACAATAAAGCCTTTAAGGAATAAATAAATATGAAAGGGCAAGAATTCAGCACATTGTAATTTAAACTATTTAGGTTTTTTTGTATCTAGTTACATAAATTGTGATAGTTTTGCTTACTAATTTTGGTTTACAGCAATATTTTGACAATAAAAATGTTTTAGTATAGGTTTTTGTCTTTACTTAAATGTTTTAGTTCAGCTTACTTGATAATTTTAAAGCAATCGGTTTTCTAATACTTTCCTAGTAATGTAAACACTTATAAAAAAATAACACAACTAATTATTTTGAGCCAACAGTACTGAAGTTTGCTTTATTAAGAAGTTGTAAATATGAACTGGGTTAAGTTATGTTCACTTAAATTAATACACTACTAAGAAATTTTAAATCAATCAGTTTCCTTAATTGTTCTAAGTATCAACTTACATTTTACAGTGTATGCTCTAAAACTTGATTGGTTAAATGGTTGATTCTAATTGTATTGCACTGTATGTGAACAAGAAGCTATTTTTTCAGAGATCTAAACTTTTTGTTTCTAGAGAAAAAAATAAAACAAGAATTGAGCCAAAACAGTTGAAGAAAACTCTCAGTGAAAACTCTCCTTCTCTCATTTGTAGTGAAAGGGCGACATCTAGTGTTCATAAACCAGACTATTTCTAATAACATGATATATTTAATTTAATTTCATTTTAATTCTGATATCACTTTGACTAATTCCTAAATATATGCCTTCTATATAACACACTATAATTATGTTTTACATAAAATAATTACAGAGCCATTTATGCAGACAGAAACTCAATGAGTACCTTGTAGATGATTTTTGACTAATTAAGACTAATTACAATGATGACATTTATAATAATTTATTTCATTATAATACCTAAATCACTTTAAGTTTAGTATAGCTTCTATTTTTACAGTACAAGCCAGTATCATTGTAGAAGCTATCAAATATGACATGAAAAAAATACAAAAATGAAAGAAAGAAATATTCCAAATATCTCTTTCATTCTTTACATTACTATTCTTATAATCTTTGTACTTTTACTAACACTCCCGACAATTTAACCAACTGTTAAAACATAAACAGAACTTTACTCTCAGGACTTCAACTTTCTGCAGTTTAATTGGCTGAAAAAAAATCTGTCAATACAGAGAGTAATGATTAACTAACTGAAAGCCCGAAAGCTGTGTTATTTTCCTTGTCTCTCTGATTGTAAGGATGAAGGTGAGTGTTTCTCTTCTTCTGTTTTGCTATCTGTCTCTCAGTGATGGAGATAAGGAGCTGGAAGTTTTGGTGGCCAGTGAAAGAAATGACCAGCCCAACATCTGGACTGAGGTGAGAGATGTAAGAGACATGTTGGTGGAGCTCAGAGTCAAGCTGGACATGACGATGAAAGAGAATGCAAGTCAGTAATGCTTTCTTATTCTGTCATGTTTACATAAACATACAGCTGTTAGATAATAATAACATTTTACAATAAGGGAAATCAAAATTAATAAACACAGTACAGTACAATGCAACATTAAAAAGGTAATTAATTAGATCATTATTGTTTCATAGAAATGGCAGATCAAATACTGGAGCTGAAGAAAGAAAATTCAGGTATTTACAATTGTATTTTGATACCTGCTGTGGTGTACTGTTCAAAGTTGACCAGAAAAAAAAATCCACATAATTCACTGTATGCTTCTCTTAATAATAGCAAATATTCCATAGAATAATAATAATGTAAAGGTAATATTTCAAGGAAAAAAAAATTCATTTAGATAATTTCTTTCTAGAAAATCACAACAGACGATTCAAAACCATGCCAAAAAATGTACAAATGACAACATTTTAATTTTACATATATAATCAATGCCTATGAATAACTTTAATCAAACTATAAACCCTAAATCCGGAGAAAATGATCATTTTTAAGAAATCTCATTTGTTATTGGGCTGTACACACACGAATAAAAAATATTAAGTCAGATTAAATACTGTAGTTGTTTTAAACAATACAATAGTTAAATGTATTATAGACCATTTTGAGAAATGTAAACAAATACAATGGTCCCAATGTATTTCCTATTTTACATTTGTAATGTCTATAGCTTCCGGGAATCCAAAAAAAAAAAAAAAAGCTACATGAAAGCTACAAGCCAATGACATCACCACATTGTAATGAGTATTTTGTGAATGAATTCTACCCCCCACTGAACTGATAAACTGTATAAACATGTCCAACCTTGAGGCAGATGGGCTACAGCAGCAGAAGACCACACCGAGTGCCTCTCTTGTCAGCTAAGAACAGGAAACTGGCTACAATATCCACAGGCTCATCAAAATTAGACAATAGAGGATTGTAAATACGTTGCCTGGTCTGATGAGTCCTGATTTCTGCTGCGACATTTGGATGGTACGGTCAGAATTTGGTGTCAACAACATGAAAGCATGGATCCATCCTGCCTTGCATCAACGGTTCATGCTGCTGCTGGTGGTGGAAGGGTGTGTGGGATAATTCTTGGCACACTTTGAGCCCATTAGTACTAACTGAGTATTGTGTCAACGCTACTATACCTGAGTACTGTTGTTAAACATGTCCCTAACTTTATGACCACAGTGTACCAATCTTCTGCTGGCTACTTACAGCTGGATAACTTGCCATGTCATAAAGCGCGAATCATCTCAGACTGGTTTCTTAAACATGACAACGAGTTCAATGTACTAAAATGGCTTCCACAGCCACCAGAGATCAATCCAATAGAGCACCTTTGGAATGTGGTGGAATGAGAGATTCACATCATGGATGTGCAGCTGACAAATCTGTAGCAACTGCGTGATGCTATCATGTCAATGTTGACCAAAATCTCTCAGGAAATTTTCTAGCACCTTGTTGAATCTATGCCAAAAAAGATTAAGGATGTTCTGAAGGCAAAAGGGGGTTCAACACTGTACTAGTAAGGTGTACCTAATAACTTGGCCTGTGAGCATATATATATATCACTGCAATACATATTGTGCAAAAATACATCAAATACATGAATATATTAGAAATATATAATGTAACTGAATATTAATATATTCTTCAGAATGTTTCAAATGAATGATATGATTATTTTATAGACATGAATGAGAAAATCAAGATCAGTGAAGCCCAGCTGAAAAAAACAAGGCAAGAAAATAAAGGTAAACTTATGAAAAAAAGGTCCCATTTAAACAATACCCAGTATTGTAAAAAACTTTAAAGATGCAAATCAATGGCATCAAATTGACATCTAATATTGGTGTCAAGAAACACATCAAAAATCAATTACAGGACTGTCCTGAATTAATTTTTTGACGTTTTTGCCAATGTTAGAAGTCAATTTGATGTTGTTTTGAAATCAAGATAGTTTATATGCATTATACAATATTTTGCTACTGAAGCTATTAAATGAATAAAACATCTTATATTACAATACTTTTTTTGTTTCTATTTTGGTGGTCAAAAGGACATCAATGTGTGGATGTTAAATGGACGTTAATGTTTTGCAGTTTTAACACGTTTTTGACACCAAAGTGCCACTGGGTAATTTACAGTTTGGAATTATTCATGTAAAAGTGTTTAAAATTATTTCTGTCCACAGAACAACCAAAAGTGGCCTTTTCAGCCGATTTAGGGATTCGTGGTGATTTAGGACCTCAGTCTACTGAGCACACACTTGCATTCAGCAATGTCTTCACAAATATTGGCAACAACTACAACCCAGCAACAGGTATTTTGAATGTTCATGGCCCATCTGAAAAATCATAGTTCTTCATTATTTTTGATCTGATTGTTTTGTGGATGGCAGGTCTCTTCATTTCTGCAGTTAAAGGCCTTTACTACTTCAGCTTCACTGCATGCGGTGTTCAAATCAAACAGTCAATGGGTGCGAGTTTATATAAGAATGGCCAGAAGATTGTGTCAGTAGGTCAGTGGCGTAGCCACGATCAGCACAGATATGCATCAAACGCAGCCGTCCTGCAGCTGGACGTGGGTGATGTGGTTTGTGTCAAGCTTCTACCACAATACACCATCTATGACAGTCCAGACAACCTCAGCACCTTCAGCGGATTCCTCATTTACCCGATTTAAGGATCAACTATTGGACTGTGGCCTATTTGAACATGCAGGGGTTGTGGATATTCATTCCCAACCCAATTAGACTTTTTTTTTTTCATTTTCAATATGTTTTTATGTAATCACAATTTACAACATTGTTTGCTTCGAGGGAAGATCACACTTTTCTTTTTTATACTTTTACCATAGAGAAAAAAACATGATTTTATCATGATTTTAAATGCTGTAATTTGCAGTAAAAATGTAAAAATCTTTGAGCTTTCTGTGTATACTATTTTTATTCAAATAATAATAATAATAAATAAAAATACAACACCAACAACATAAATAATATTAATAATATAAAACTTCAGTTATTAATAATAATTAAAAAGGAAATTTATTTCCTGGAATTAATAATAATAATAATAATAATAATAAAAACAATAACAACATGATTATTAATATTATATGGGCGGTGTGGTGGCTCAGTGGTTAGCACTGTCGCCTCACAGCAAGAAGGGCTTTGGCCGGCTAAGTCAGAGTTTGCATGTTCTCCCAGTGTTCACGTGGGTTTCCTCTGGGTGCTCTGGTTTCCCCCACAGTCCAAAGACATGAGCTACAAGTGAATTGAATAAACTAAATTGGCCGTAGGGTATGTGTGTGAATGTGAGAGTATTTGGGTGTTTCATATTAATTAGTTATGGCCAGAAGGGCTTCCGCTGCGTAAATGCTGGATAAGTTAACGGTTCATTCCGCTTTGGTGGCCCCTGATAAATAGAGGGACTTAGCCAAAGGAAAAGAAATGAATGTATGCATGACCGTTATTATTACTATAATATTAATAATTTCATTAACAATAATAATTTTAAATGGAAACATAATTTTATCAAATTCAATTAATATAGGTATATAAATTATTATATGTCCATTAAAAATCTATATTGAACCCTCTGAAACTGTATCTAAAACCAATGATTTTTTTTATTATTATTAATATAGGTAAAATCCCTTGGATTATAGAGAATTACATTTGATATGGGCTGACCACTTTCTCATCATATTGTTGTTAAATGGTGACATCTAGTGTTGATCTTTAGAATTATGAAGGTAGCGTGGGAAAAAACAACATTTTGACTGTAAAACAGTCCTAACAGATTAAAAAAACACCATTATGAATAATAAATACATAATCAAAATTATGTCCTTGAAGACGTAAAGATCCTTGTTCCCTCTTGATTTCGACTTTTACTTTTAAAATTACAACATATAACAAAGTAATATCAATCATTATTTTACACCAATAACAGTTTTTCTCTCCCATTGTGCAACTTTAAAAAAAAAATAGATGTATGTATATATATATATATATATATATATATACACACACACACTTTAAAAGATTTAGGAATTTTTTTTCATTTATCAATTTATTTATCAGTATCGTAGTACTGACTTTTTGTTTATATATCTAATTATTTTAAGATCCATTTAAATCGGATTTGAATATATTTTAAAATAATAATAACTTTTATTAAAAGAATTATTTATTATTTTAATCATCCTATAAAATTATACAATTTTGCAATAATTATTTTTATAATTATTATAGTATTTGGCCATTTTCGTGCTTTGCCAATAGGACAGTACACATACAGGAAAGTTGTGGTAGAAAGAGAGAAGCAGTATTGGCAAAAGATCGCAAGGCAAAAATTGAACTCGGGTCACAGTTGTTCTGAGCATTTAACCACAAGACTAGATGCACTGACATCATAGTAGTATTAACCATTTTATTTAGTTAATTATGTTTTGCTAATTTTATACGATAGTGTTTTATTTGATCTTGTGGATCCCATTTTAAAAACCCATGCTTTAAAAAAGTCAAACATCCTTTCTTAACTTCATCCTTCAATCTGTTTTTTCACAATGCTGGTAATTTTCACACAGCCCCTTGCATGTAGAATCTCTCTCTCTTTCTCTTTCCCTTGCTCTCTCTCTCTATCTCTCCCTCTCCATCTCTCTTTTCCACCCCACCCTACCTAATTCCAGCTGAATTTAGGATGCCTTTGACCCAGCACTGGATCTGCATTTGTGGACGAGGGTGAGACAGAGCAAGCGAGACAGCAAGAGTGACTCAGAGAGAGAGAGAGAGAGAGAGAGAGAGAGAGAAGAGAAAAGAGAGTGCGCAAGGCTGAGGACACAGATCAATGCATCTTTGTGCCTGCTGCCTCAGCAAGTGAAGGTGAGAGCAAATCAAAACAAATGAAAAGCAGACGCCTCTGGAGAGAAGCAAACAGCCTCCAATCAGCCTCTGAGGGAGGATGATTACTGTCTGCGGAGAGCCAGAGGAGTGAGTGACAGTCAACACAAGCTCATGTGCGGATTTCAGGCATCTTAAGAGTCTCCTCGCCGCACTGGACAACAAGACCTTTTGTGGATGCTGAAAACCTGCAGAAGAAAATACCTGCAACATGAGGTTTGAGTCTCAGGATGGAACCGAAGGTAGGCGTTTGTGTGTGTACAAAATAAAAGTCTATTGTTTTGTGTTTGTAACACTGATGTTGATAAACAAAGGTAAATATTTGAGATAGAGCTGTGGCCTAGTGGTTGGTGCTCATCTAAACAATGCAAGTTTGAATCTGGCTGGCAACTCATCCCTCTTTTCTTCCTTTTGTGTGCATCTGTTATAAACAGCTGATGTTTTGTGGTTGTAACATTGATTCTGATTTAAAAATGGTAAATCATTAAACCAGAGCTGTGGCGTAGTGTTGGCGCTCATCTAAACAATGCCAGTTTGAATCCAGCTCACGACTCATTCCTTTTTTCTTTCTTTATATGTATCTGCAATACATCCGCAATAAAAGTCTTAAGTTTTATTGATGAAACACTAATTCGGATGAATAAAAAAAAGGTTAGCCGTTGAGATAGAGATGTGGCATAGTGGTTGGCTCTCATCTAAACAGTACAAGTTTAAATTTGGCTTGCAACTCACTATTTTTCTATATTTTTTGTTTGTACCTGCAATACATCTGCAAAAAAAGTATGAAGTTTCATGGTTGAATCACTAATTCTGATTTTAAAACTGTTAATACTAGAACTAGAGATGTAGACTGATAGTTGGTTCTCATCTACACAGTATAAGTTTGAATTTGGCTTGCAACTTACTCCTTTTTTATTTCTTCGTTTGTTTCTGCAACACATCTGCAATAAAACTGAAGTTTTATGGTTGAAACTAATTCTGAATTTAAAAAAAAAGGTTAGTCGTTGAGATAACGATGTGGCGTAGAGGTTGGCACTGATCTCAACAGAGAAAGTTTGTACTTGGCTCGCAACTTACTGCTTTTTACTTTTTTATTTCTTCGTTTGTATCTGCGATACATCTGCAATAATAGTCTGAAGTTTTATGGTTGAAACACTAATTCTTATTTAAATGATTATTCGCTGAGCTAGAGATGTGGCCCGGTAGTTGGCACTCATCTAAACAGTACAAGTTTGAATTTGGCTCGCAACTTACTCCTTTTTTTATTCGTATCTGCAGTACATCTGCAATAAAAGTCTGAAGTTTTATGGTTGAAACTAATTTTGATTTAAGAAAAAAAAAGTTTAGTCGTTGAAATAGATATGTGGTGTAGTGGTTGGCACTCATCTCAACAGTGCAAGTTTAAATTTGGCTTGCAACTTAATCCTTTTTTATTTCTTCATTTGTATCTGCAACACATCTGCAAAAAATCTGATGTTTTATGATTGAAACACAAATTCTGATAAAAAAAGATTAATCTTTCAGCTAGAGATGTGGCCTAGTAGTTAACACTCATCTAAATAGTGCTAGTTTGAATTCGGCTCGTAACTCATTCCTTTTCTTTTATGCAAAATAAAAGTATGTATGATTGTTGATTCCTAAAGTCTCTCATATAGATATCTGATATATCACAACACGTAATCACATATTAATCGCATACATGTTTGCATATCACATATATTATAATCCACACCAAATAAGTATCATAATTTTATTGTTATCTATTAATGATTTTATTGTTATTTATTACCTTATTAATACTGCAAAAATTACTATTTTATTACAGTTACAAATATTGATATGGATAGAATCTTTTTATTGTCCCTTAGGGGCGATTTGGCTCACAGCAATAGCCAACACAACAACACACACACAAAAGCATAATATCTGACACAAGATATAACGTAAACAAAAGAAACTACCTGTCAAAAATATATTCAAGCAGCGAGAAATAAAAAGTGTACATAAATTGAGTACATATATGGCCATATATGGGACAACTTTGAATCAGACCTGCAACTCCTGCAATTCCTTTTGTGTTTATTTGCAATAAAAGGTTGTATGACTGTTGTGATGTCTTGAAGGAGAGACTGCGAGTCTGGTGCTTCAAGACTACAATCATTCCTAGACTGACTTCAGGCTGTTGTCATGTGTGATGCCACAGCCTGGTGCCACCCAGAGGGGTCAGATTGACATCCACAACAGAACATGAAGAAAGAGAGATGCTAGGGGGAATGAACAACAAGACGATCTGAAATGTTTGCACATTCAAGGCTGGGGGCTGAGGGAATGTGTGTGTGTTCGCTGGAAATGTGATGGCGAAACAGTAAGTGAGGATGGAAAGTGAAAAGGTTTGGCTCACCGTCACAGTAAAGTTGAGGTGTTTATCGTGACACTACCATCAGACATTTTCTTGATACTTTACTCATCTCATGATGGTATTTTTTGCAAAAAGCATTCACACATGCATGAAATGTTTGTCTATCTGCCTGGGGCATTGGCTTCATACTGTTTTATAAGATGAGAATATTTTATTTATATATATATTGGGCAAAAATATAAGTATTAGTTTATGGATGTAACGTATATTTATATAACTGTAAAGGTGTGTAAACATGCATGAATTGTTAGGGAGAATGTTAAAGAGAATAAAAACATTTTGGATGGATGGATGGATGGATGGAGATAGCGATAGATAGATAGATAGATAGATAGATAGATAGATAGATAGATAGATAGATAGATAGATAGATAGATAGATAGATAGATAGATAGATAGATAGATAGATAGATAGATAGATAGATAGATAGATAGATAGATAGATAGATAGATAGATAGATAGATAGATTTTGCTTACATATTTTCTGTCTTTCTTATCTTCTGTTTTGACTATTCTTATTTTAACAAATTATTTGTATTCACCACATACCTTACATTTGATGAGTTCAGTTTGTTCTTTCAGTATGAGGACATTT